GTCGCCCTGCATAGCCTCAGCAAATCTCTCGCCCAAGGCATGGTACGCCCGTACCGCATCGGATACCAATGGATCGCTGGTGTCCGTTCCGGCTCTGTATACAACGCCACATTTCCAACGTCCACCCTCCTCTGTCCTGTATTGCTTCTGTGGCGGGGCCATAGCCAGGGCTACGGGTACATCGGGAATAGCCCTACAATAGAGTGAAGAAGCATACATGTTCTCGCATATCGTAAAGGGTGTTGGTCATACTCTTAGGTGACAGGAATAATCGACGTTGCTAATATATTCCGTACCAAAATTTGAACACACAAACTGGATTGGAGACTCACGAGTCGAAATAAGATTTGTGATAAGCATGATGCTAAATTCACCGAAGTCTCTCGATCAAATTAGCTGTCAACCCTGAGACTCCTGGGAGCAGTGCTGCAAAAAATGTTCGCTTTCCTCAGCTGAGCTCAATATTTTCCTCACTTATCATAGGAGTCTATATACGAATTGGGAGAATATACGAGAAATGTACAGAAACTAACGAGAGTTATCCAAAATCTCCTCAGAGTCTCGATACTGTCACCAACACATGTGGTTGACCGAGTGCATATTACACCACACAGCCTGAAAGTGTCGCAAGACAATAACTTACTGGAATATGATGTAGTCGCTGCCGGCGTCTTCCCGAAAAGTAGAATGTCGTTCACCACAAATGCTATCTACGACGCGGTCCCCGAAATGGAGACGAGCAAGCCTCTCGAGAAGTCGAACATAAATCTGGAATGTGGATGGATCGGCAATCGGAAACCAGAATATTGCTTGATCATGATTTTGAGGTGCACCTAAGGAAGTCATTCAGATTCCAGTCACGCCGGAGCTCTCTCTTCACTAGAGCGAACATTGAAATCCGGGCAGACGACCATAAAAGAATTAAGAGTTTATGATGTTCCTCACGTGTAGTTGCGGTCCTCCATACTCCCCGATCGTCCCAAACAAGTTGAACGTATGACATGTACGGCTCGAAAGGGATCTAATTCTGAACAAAATCATCAAGACAACTGTAGCCATAAATCTACCAAGCTCAGGGATTTTCATAACCTAATTACCATAGATGAGAGAAGCATGTCTACGAGTACATAAACATTGCTCGGTCTGAGCTATTAAATATTTCCCAGCAAGATTAAAGATCTAGGGTCTATTTTTAAAGTCTCCTAGAGGAAGGACGTTTTGGAGTGTAAGAAACTCTTATAACAGAATGATTTCGAGGAGCATAACCTCGATCAAACTATTTCGATTCACAGAACTAGACTCCTCATACCTCAACAAATTTGTTAAACTTCTCAAACCAAATAGATCGCTAGAAATAGATACCGGGCTGGGAATCGAAACCAGGTAACTCCCTTGAGGCACTCACAACAATGCATATCGCGCGCGTGAACCGCACATTGAAGATACCACTGAACCACTTTCACTATGGCATCCGTGGAAAGCAACTCCGAAGATATGATAAACGTTGAAGAGGCTCAAGATCTCTTCAACAGAGATCCACAAGAGAATCAAATGTCGGATCTCTCATCATGGGCGAAATCAAAAGCTTCAGTTTGAAGCTGGATGGCGATTTGCCGCTAACTTGGGATGAAATTTTCGCCAAGAAAACGGCGAAATCCTCCTATCCCCCCTCTGGAGGGGTGAAGACCTTTCAGCTCAAATCTTGGAAACCGCATTTTGGAAGACGTTAAGACTTCTTGATGGGATTATCGAGTGCTTTTGCCACATGAAGCGCTCTCAAGGGAGTGCTCCTTAGCCCGCGAGGTGCAAGTAGATGAAGGAAGCCTCCTTTAGGTTACTATGGCGGCCTTAGGAGTCGGGATTAGAAAAAAAACAGCAATTACATGCTTGAGAACTTCAAAAAATTATCTTCAAGGGAATTTGTGAGATAGGCTCCCTGCGGATTTTTCTAAGAATTCGATTTCACGTGTTGTTGTGCCTACGATCGAGCTATGACAAATATGCTAACATTTCCAAGTTTTTGTGGAAACAGAATTATGCAAGTCTGACGTGGAAGATTATAGTGAGATCATCATCCAAGTCACAGTCAAACAAGTAGTTCATTTCGTAGTTGTTCACACTTTTCAAAGTTTTCGCAAGTGTCAACTATTTTTTAGCACTTTTCAGGAGGGAATGATTCGCGCGCGCCGCGTATTTCTTCAGCACGCAAAACGGGTAAATTCAGATTTTCAAGGGAAATCGTGAATAGTCAAGGTGATTTCTCGCTCGCCCCGCGCAGTTTATTCTTGCAAATAGTCAAGGCGCGGGCCAAAACAGATGATGTCCCTGCTAGGGACTCCCTAGTGTCCTAGGCTACTATTAACCACGTTATAGCGTCCGTACCTACGGCAAATGACGTCTCTACCGCGTAATGCGGTCCGCATCGGGCTAGGCCCTAGCCGCTAGGGGTTTACACTGTTATTCCCTTCGGGTTTCTGGTTGCCTTGTTATTCTCTTCGGGTTTCTGGTTGCCTTGTTATTCCCTTCGGGTTTCTGGTTTCCTTGTTATCTGGGTTTCCTGGAATAAGACCGTCGGGGTTCGGGTTTACCCGTAATGACAGTTTTTTGAGAACTTGTATGATACAAGTTCTGATACAAGTTGTATCAGAGCTCGCACTTGAGTAAGAGCTCGCGCTTGTATATGGGTTTTGTCTGTTGATTCCCTGAGGACTTCCCTAAGGAGTCCTCGGCCGACAGTTCTTTGTAAGGTCTGTCGGCTGTGTTTTGGTCCCTTTTAAGCGACTTCTTCCTAAATTATAAATTATAAGCGAGGACTTTGATAGAACGTCGTTTGTCGATCTTCCAGAGTTGAACTCTGAGAGTTCTACATTGAGACTCCCTCCAAGGTTTCTCGAAGGTGCCCTAATCATTAGGGCCTACTGCCATCTCCGTCCGCTTGTGAGAGTCACCCAGCCGATCTCGAGAGGAGCCTTCCTTCATCTCTCCTCCCCCCATCGTTACCCTTTAGTTCTCAGCAACAGGTCCATACCCCTAGAAGAAAGACGTATTATCAGAATGGAGCGCCTCTTAGGAATTCATTTGCCTCCTACAGAGTAGTTCCAGCGGCAGCAGACGATTGCAGCGTTCAGAAAGTAACCTGACTGAACAGTTCACCTTGAACTTAGCTCAAATCTCGGACTTGCAATTGAATGGTTGCCATT